ATATATATATATATAGCAAAGGGTTAATTCAAAGCACAGTAATGCAAACATTTATTGAACAGTGCACGAAAATGAATTTCCATTATAATAAAATCGATTAATTCACTAAGTATACAAAGAAGTAGATAAAATAAAAACTATAACAGTACACTCGCACCGCAGTAAACACACTCGATAAAAATTATTTAAAAGGTTCATTTTACCGCGGGAAAAAGCATATGCTAATTAAATCACTATTCGTCTTGCGTACCTCATATCCAAGTTCCCTCAGGAAGAGTCTGATAAGCGGTGGTTCTGTGCCGAAGAACTTCGTGAGCTTTTTCACCCTTGATGGATTGGATAGAGCTGGTAGTTCGGAGTCCTTAATCAGCGGTTGCGATTGTGATCTCACCATTGCCATACTCGTTTGTGTCCTCAGAGCCGCAATTTCGCCTCTTATGTTCTCCATTTCCTGCAACAACATTCTATATTCTTGCTCCTTTTCACAACATAAATCTAATAATTTCCATGGTTCTGTTTAATGCATTTCTAAAAAACGACAATGTAATTATACAGAGTGTTTCGCTTAAATAAATCCTCACGAATGTCTTCAAAATCGTTGATGATTCCGAAAAATATTTCAGATAATAGTTGAATAATTTTGAGGTGCACATAATTTGATATGATTAGTTCAGTTGTAGGTGGGCGAGTAGAGTACATAATGATCACATTTGTTTTTTTAATGATATCACATATTGTTTAATGTATTAACCGATACAGCTCGCCATATCTTACAAAAAGTATGCAACTATTTAGTTAAAACACCATTAGTTCAGAACATATTTTAATTTTAATATTGCAAAGTAGTACTAGGAACATAATGTTTACCTTCTTAAAGGTAATGTTCAAAGGATGGAAAGAAAACATTTACCCGTAAATATTAACATAATTTTCTCACCTGTATCATTAAGTGCTGCGTTCTCATTTCTGAGCTTAGATGTGCCACCGACCTAGCCAGGGTAATCACGTGCGATTCTAGTCGTTGAAAGCGCTTGTTAATGCTCTGAAATCAATAATTTAAATAAAATAATAATCCATAATGTGATACAATACATTACAGAACAATAATCATTGACTCAAAATAAACGTCAAAAACAGAAAAATAATTTGACTATTAATAAAAGAGGATTAATAAATACATTATCCGTCATTATTTAGAACATATTTAAATTTTGTGACCTAAGAATTACTGGTTCCATTCAAAATCACATCTAATATATCATTTAATGTCTCTCAATATGTATACATCTAAAATTAATTTAAGCTTCAGGAAATATAAGAGTCACTTCGACTTAACTTGAGATCGATACAAAAAATTTTATGTTATGAAAACTAAATACACAGTCCTCGCGATTTATTGACTCTTTGTTGATATGCGATTATAGTCCAGGGCGTCATCCTCACTACTGGGTGGCGCGGGGGGGGGGGGGGGGGGGGGAGTTGAATTCTTTGTTTGTCTTCCTTTTCCATTTTAGTGGATTTTAGTTTGTTCTCTTGTGGTATTTCTTATATGACGCTGCATGATTGACATACAGTAATATACGACTGACTGGAACAATTGAGCTAAACCTTACTATATAGAGATATATCTCTTTTAAAACAAAAATTTTGAGGGAGGGTGTAATGTACCTTTTGACCGACCTACGTTCTTTCATTATCGAGTTTTTCTTATATAGTATTAAATTAATGGCAAGAACTGGTTCGTTGTTGTTCATTTGTCATAATTCTCTAATACTGAGTTGAAGAGTTAGGCGACCTTGAATGAATCAAAGTCATAATCGTTTTCGGCAAATTGTATTGGGAAGATAATGAAATAAATGGAAACCTCAATATAGAGCCTTTTATTGTGCGACTTTCGGCGAAAAAAGTTGTAATTTATGTTTGTTTGTTTCTTACAAAATTACGGCGCCAGCCTCACAGCTATACCGTTTGACCTAAAGCAAAATACTAAAGATCTTCATTGTTTACACATTAGAAACAAAAGAACTATACACAGAAGTACGTACTCTGAAAATAGAACAGCCATAAAATACAAAACATACATTAGAAAGTAGCACGCATCGCGCATGCCCACGGTATCGATTCAATTATTGTCAACAGAAGAAAATGAGACTTTTCCGTCGCAAGTTGCATAATTAAAGGTTTTGCATTGTATTCTTCATGGATTTCATTATCTTCCTAAAAAAATTGCTGACAATAACTATGACTTTGACTCATCCAAGGTGCCCTAACCCTTTAATCAATCTATGTTCATGTAACTCTTTGCTTATTTTTATTAATAGAATATACACAGAAAAGTTTGACTGAAAAATCGTGAGACAACTTGTGTAATACAGAAATATTCGGTAATAATAATACAAAGACATAAGGCCACAAAAACAGAATAATGAGACGTGAATTATCTTAAACTGACCTTGAAGTCTTTGGTTTTTTTCAGTCTATCGTCGATCGCATGGGATCTGCGTTTGTCATGATGTCTTGTAACAGGCCGAGATGAAACAGATGACGTCGGCAACGACGATACGGAACCATAACTAATAAGGCCTCTGGCCTTTCGCCTTTTCTTCACGCTTCCGCCTAGCAATTTCAGCACCTGAAATCATAGACAAACCAAAATTATTAGACTCTCCATCATCATGAAACGTTCGCACGCTTGTTCTTACTGTTACTCAAAGAAGTATCTATCCATTGCAGAGCATGACATCTTTTATATATATAGAGTGCCCCACAATAGGTGGTACAAGTGCAAATTTGATAACCTTACGTGAAAACATAAGGAGGAAATATGAAATAAAACATTCTCATAGCTCGTTTCGTTTTCAGAATCATTGACTTTCGATTTTAATCTGGTACGTCTGGACTGAAGGAGTTGAAAGCGCCAACAGGGTGTAATGAGACAATGAAAATGCTGCTAGTTTGAGGTTTATACACAGACAAGCTTCGACAACGAGCTGACCTATCGATCGGGTCCAAAATACCAAACGGTTTTCACAGGTCAAATGTTTCAATCAATAAGTTTATATTCTTTTTATGTTCTTCACATTTCCTCAGAGAAGCAGAGAGTGAGAGAGAGTTGGACAGAGAGGCAGGGAGACAGATTGATTGATTGATTGATTGATTGATTGATGACGTTTATTTAGCTCCAGTAGCTACTTTACAAACTTCTTCTGTGTACATACACTTAGTCTTCTTAATTACTAATTTATTTCTATTAATTATTGTACTATGTTCTTTTCTTCGTGCTCTCTCCTTATGATGTGTTGCACTAGCATCCTTCTAAAAGTTTACAGCCTAGCTTCGCTCTTTATTTATTGCGGTAGATTATTACTATTCTACATCTATTCTGTGCTACTTCTTACCGAAATCTTTGCTGGTATTGAATCTCCAACTTGATATTACGCACCGACCATTTTCAAGAAACAAAGTGAAATTATTGGTTAACTATTAGGTTTACGGTTAATAAAGGTCAGTACTTTTTTACTCAAAATTTAACGTTCTTCGATATTTTTGCATAAAAAATATAGCATTCCACTTAAAAAAACGAAATTGACCTTCAAATCTCCGAAACACTTTCACTTACAAGAAGATATATGCATTACATAATGTATCTCTCCAAACCATACAACTTTTCTATAAACAATTTTTTCATACAATGCATACTGTAGAAGTTATTCAGGGTGAACAAGTTTCCGTGGACCACCCTGTATAACATATTTTGTTACCTGCAACCTGAACCACCAGTTTCATTACCTCAACCGTTATCCCTTCTTCTGTACCTGACTTATTAACTAATATCCTTACTATTTTCTGTAAACACTCTACCTCAATTTTTTTAAGAACCTCAAATACACTTTCCGTATACATTATGTTCTCTAAATAGTCTATGTAATCTTCTACAATCATATCTTCCCTTAACTGTTTTATACTATGCACAAAATAACAATTGAACATATTCACGATTTCTTATACATCAGAGCTGTATAACTTTTGCTCCCGGAATCATTCACCTACTCTAGAGATATGTACAGAGGGTTGCATGCTACGGCGCTACAGCCCGTATCATGGACCTAAAGGACGGAGGCTTGTTCTGCAGGGGTGGGCTGAAAGACGTAAGGGGAATCGACCGTCAGCCATCTTGTGAGGCTAAATTTGTAGTGCACTCTGCAGGCGAATTATTAATACTAGCATGGCTTGGCGTTATTTGGCGTGTTTTGGAGTACCTTTGATTTCTTTATAAATCTAATTATAAAAATGCCCTCTTGCATTGTGAAATAACTGTATAATCATAGAATACACATCATAAAATGTATCATACAACAATATGTTAAAGTAAGATACCACCATATATCTAAACAAAGTAAACATACTTCACAGTCAAAGATCCTATTTTAATAAAGTTATCTTGTTTTCTGACCACTAAATTTATTGTGTTATAATTGACCCTATATATTAAAACTTCAGAGATTATTATAAAAATAAATATATACATTATTTATAAAAATATTTGCGACTTTATAAAACATATCCTTGATGATAAAACTTAACACGTAGAGACAAAATTATTATCTGATTTACAGTTAACTTAAAGCATATTTGCCGCGGCATGATCTAGGTGGCAGCACTTTCTTAGCGGCACAATATGGCTGAACGTGGAGTACCGTATCCTCCCCTTAGAGCATCCCCCCGCGCTCAGAAGTCTACTTTATGCACCGTCCTTTAGGTCCATGTCCTGTATGGGGACTGGGGAGGGAGATTTAGATTTACATGAATCAATTAATGCAGATGATAACGATAAACGGGGATCGGACCCCATTAGTGCACAAAGATATCAATGCTGAAATAGTTACCTAAAACGCACATATGATTGTAGCGGACGAGTCACATATTTTACATAATTTTATGAGTCGAATTTCTGAAACTGCATATGCTAGTACCAAAAAAGTCTAGGCAAGTACAATAGAAGTTCACAGTATCACATGTGCGGTTTATAGGGTCTGAATTAGTCATTGATGATTCATAACGATATGGCAGAAAAGTCTGTGTGAATCTGAACGGTCTCGTGGGGGCATAAAAATTTACCAGATGAAGGAGTTGGGAACACTGAATACGGGTATTAAGAAACTTAAATAGGAAAAGAAAATCCACCATAATTCTCCTAGACTCAAGAGATCGCAGATTGAGCCGGGACATAATTGGGTTTTAATCGTGGTCGGTAACAAGCATACATTGATCAACCTTGTATGCAGCGCACCAAAGGAACTTATGCTGCACCTTCTGAATGAGTAGTTTATATTTTTGTTGATTTGGTGACCAGATGACGGACGCATATTCTAATTGTAAGTGAGGTCTAACTAGGGTGCAATATAATAGTTGTATGAGCATCGGCTTAACACCTCTTCAGAGGAGACGGCTAAGAAGATCAACGCTGCATTCGGGCCATGTACTAGTAGCGATCGGACGTTACGCTTCTGGTATAAGTGCCTCGATGATGGCGATATAAGGTGTGAAAACCAACCCTGCTCCGAGTAACCATCCACCGTCGACGAAGACACTCTACACGGCGAACTCGAGTTGCATTCGGTTTCCAACACACGACATTTGAAGAATGCTTTTCGGCAACCCTGTCCAACCATCGATCGCCACTTTAATTCGATGGGCTACCGCAAAGTGATGTAGCGATGGATGCCTCACGCGCTGATCGATCATAACCGGGTCGAACGTGTCAGCATTTGGCAATGTTTGTTGCTCCACCAGCACCGGCAGGAATTTCTTAAGGAAATTATCACTGGAGATGAAAGCTGGGTACGTTACGAAAATGACACACGCAACGTCTCTTGGCTTCCTCGCGGCGAAGTCCCGCCAAACCAGCCGAACCCGATCCACACGGTTGGAAATTGATGCCGTCGATCTTTTAGGACTCGTACGGAATGCTCTTCTGGGAACTCGTGGAGTTTAACCAGACGATCGACGTCAACCGTTACAGGGACCAGCTCCGCAAGCTAGTCGATGCCGCGAGAACAAAACAACCAAAACGACTCGGCGCCCAGCTTCTTCAAAGGTGACGCGTGAGCAACTCGAGGAGCTAAGATGGTCTACTGTACCCCATCCACCGTTCAATCTTGACATTGCACTTTCGAACTTTCACTTGTTCCGAGCTCTTAAACGACATTTGTTGCGCAAGAAGTTTGACAATTATACCACCCTTAAAAATGATATTGGTGACTTTTTTGCATCCCAGCCCCGATCTTTCTGAGAGAAAGGCATTTAAAACTTGCTGAGCCGATTCCTGAATGTTATTGGCAATGACGGTAATTATTTCGGAGAATAAAAAGAAAATTTTCATAAATACAAAATAAAAATAAATCTGGTTGAAAATGGCAAGGACTTATGAGCACCCCAATGGCATAAGCGGGGATGGTAGGTATAAAAGAAAACTAAATGGAAGGAAAAAAAGGAGAAAGAGTGATGGGAAGTAGGGAGGGGGGGGGGAAGAAACGGAGGTTACATAACGAGGAAGCTATTTTACTCCCTTACAGCCCCGACCATGGCAATATAGTTAGAGTCCATTGTATTTGGAGTATTTCGCTCACATTTTTAACAATTAGTAACTCGGAAACGAAGCCTTGAATGCAATTTTAACAGTCTTAATTTTCGTCTTAGTTTTGCATGTAGATTCCACGTTATGAAAATGTCCCACATTTTTATTGACACTTTGTGCATTTATATGACCCAAGTAGTTATATTAGACCGATTCTGGCTCACGGGTCCAACGGAAATGTCGTTGATAACGGTATTGAACTCGTACATGCGTAGGCCAAACCCGGCTCCAACGGAAAGTTCTCATGCTATTGCACGCGTAGATGATACAGATTGGATCTTGATCGAATTTTTGAAAGTATTTTAATACTACGTTATTGCACTCGTACCTATAACTGTAATATGTCTGGCTTATGTACGCGTGCAATAGCGTGAGAACTTTCCGTTGGAGCCGAGTTTGGCCTGCGATATGTACGAGTGCAATACCATTATCAACGACATTTCCGTTGGATCCATGAACCAGAATCGGCCTAATATAACTACTGACCTATACGGTAAATTATTTAAAATTAACATATAGGATACGTCCGTTGGTTTCAGTAATACGCGAAAATATAACTAAATGTAAATAAATGAATATTTTTCGCCAGAGGTAGTAATTGTATATTCACTGTCTCGAATTTTGATATCAATTACTGTAATCGTTGTAATTAGGTTTCGATCCATGTGGTAAGCTAATGGGCCCACAAATATGTATTTGTTAGATTCGCTAAGACAACTTCGGAATTCGGTTAATTACTACAGATGCATTTAAGAACGTTTAGTGGATAGTTAGTCGATCCTTAGTGCGTAATAGCGTAGTTTTAGTCGTAAGTAAACTGTATCATGCGAGGCTAAAGATTGTAAGAAAATAATAGATTTTTCAAGTTTAATTATGTTATTAGACTATCTTCTTTGTACTTATTATTAGAAAAAAGTAATTTATGTATTATTTTATGCATACGATCTTACAAGAATTGTATTAATATATTGCATCAATATATGTATTACACATATAATAATTATATACATCAATACTATTATTTGTAAATTAATACATTATACATATATAATATATTTTTGTAGTATATGTTAATTATTGTTAATATAATGTTTAAATGACACGCTATATTATAACTATTCTTCATTTCCTTACGTATGAAAATGTATCCTACCTCACTGTACATGTTTTCCAAGCCTTCCAGCTGCTTCCTAATTGTTCTTGCGTCGTTTGTGCTTAAATCTGAATCGCTTCTATCTAGCATGGAGTCTAAGTCGAGTCCTGTCGTTGTGGAAGTTAAATCGGCCGCTTCCATACCAAAAACTGGAAGAACATCTTTGTAACATCGGTACGCAAATAAAAAAGAGCATCAGGGACTACTTACGATGAGAAAACTTTTTTGCAGCTTCTTTCTTGGAAGTGGAAGCACCGCGATGTTTTGAACTGTTTGAGAACTCTCTTTTCTCTATAGCCTTGCTGTAATCGTTGTAATTAGGTTTCGATCCATGTGGTAAGCTAATGGGCCCACAAACATGTATTTGTTAGGTTCGCTGAGACAACTTCGGAATTTGGTTAATTAGTACAGATGCATTTAAGAACGTTAAGTGGATAGTTAGTCGACCCTTAGTGCGCAATAGCGTAGTTTTAGTCGCAAGTAAACTGTATCATGCTAAAGACTATAAGAAAATAATAGATTTTTCAAGTTTAATTATATTATTAGATCACTTTCTTTGTATTTATTATTAGAAAATAATAATTTATGTATTATGTTATGCATACAACCTTACAAGAATTGTATTAATATATTGCATCAATATATGTATTATACATGTAATAATTGTATGCATAAATATTAAGGTGGCTGTTGTATTCAACTTTCAAATACTTCTTGCGTCGGCCCTCAAAATATGTAGTTCCAACCAATAAAAAAATAATCTGTGTGAAGTTTGAGCTCGATCTGATACCATAGAATTTGTATCGCGACATAACGTATGAATAAAAATTGTTTTCCTTGGAATTTTTCAGATTTTTTGGTAAGGTGCGTCGTGCTTAGAACAACGAAAAATCGATTTGTTTGACATTTCTTCCGTAAAAAAGTAACTTATACGTTATTAAATATAGTCCGATTTATGTCGGGTTTGGACTTATTTTCATCAAGAGAATTTCCTACATTTATTCATAACATTTTTAAGAAAGTACACTAAAAGGAGTAAAAGTTTAGATTTTTTTTCATGGATGATTCGTTCCGTGTGTTACATTGTAACCCGAGGGTCGGTTGCCGGCGGCCAGATATGTATTATGTTATGCATACAACCTACCGTATGTTCGGGCATGATGGGACAAGGTTCGTTTCGGTCTTCTCCCGCGGGCACGCGAGTTCGTGGGGTCATCGCCGCGTGACTCCTCGCGCTGCCCGCGGGGCAACCAGGGCCAAGGGGGTGGTACTGGGGATACCACCTCCTTTCGCGGTCGGCCTACGAGAAGACAGTGTGGAGAGGTGACCCCTCGACGCTGTAGGTAGGAGGTGGTGGGACAGCATACAGCCGTTCCGGGGGCGGGGAGTAGATGCCCTCCCCCCAGAGAAGAGCCCCTCCGTAATTTTAGAAGGAGAGCAACGGCGGGGCTGGTCGCGGTGCGTGTCTCTGACGATCTCGTGACCAGCCCATACGTCCGAAAGGGTCACCGGGGAGGTTTTGGCGGGTCAAAGCCCCGCACAGCCCGGGGTATCGCCTTATTCAACGTTTTCCCCCGTCAAAAAAAAAAGGTTCCTTTCGGTCGCTGACAGTGAACACGCGTTAGATCCTGCAATTCTTGGCGGGCGCAAGTTTTTGCATCCCCGCTGTTAGAAACTCGATACGTTATCCCATACGTTTTTTCTACGGTCTTTGAGACTGAACATGAAATTTAACATTAAATATAGTAATATGGTTGGTCGAGTTCAGTTTCAATTCCAAATTATCTTCGTACGAATATTTCCCTACGGGTCATTCCACGTAAAGTCAGACACTTTTTCGAGTAACATTCGAATATTGTTGACACTTGAATATGTTATACTCTTTAGTGATATATAAACGTATCTCGAAAGAGTTCCGAAAATTGAAAAATTTGTTGATTTTACAGCTGTTTGAAATACAGTGTCAACCTTTTTTCAATAAATTATAACTGACGAACTACTAAACTGATCAATGTTTATCCATCAACGCTTCTTGTTCTTATTTTTCTTCTGTAACAATGTATCCAATACTATAAGCCAGCACTAACTAACAAGGGAAGGACCCCAATTTTACCACTTCGATTTTACCGATCTTTTGTAGGATGATAGAATATATATTTCTAATGATATATATGAAATATTAGCTGTAGTTACTTGATAGTTTTGAAAGTATAATTAATTAAAATTGCATACCTATGTAATTAATTATACTTTCAAAACTATCAAGTAACTACAGCTAATATTTAACATATATCATTAGAAATATATATTCTATCATCCTACAAAAGATCGGTAAAATCGAAGTGGTACAGTTGAGGTCCTTCCCTTGTAAGTGCAACATCTCTACTCATGACTTTTGTTCTTCGGAAGTGAAAACATTCGGTGCGTGCTCACTTTGATGGACCAACAACGACTGGATCGGGCTGAGCAGGCGGCGAATGCTCACTTGGAACCTCGGGTCGCCGTCCATATCAGCAAACATTCGCTTCTTCGACGCTCGTTCGGTACTTAGGCCTACTGTCCACTGAGGCGTCTTGTCATAGACACGTCAGCGTAGCATACATGACGATTACGCTACGCTTAAGTTTCCATCTACTTGAGCGTATTGGAAGCGTATAGAAAGCGTACAGAAAGCTTTATTTTCCTCATTCGCAAAGTTGTCGGATACAGATGTCAGATGTAATTATATTCGACGTCATAAAAGTCGGAAAAGATATTGGTTACATCCTTAGATAGAAAAGAACATAATAAGTGATCATGTATTTCATTCTTTCTATAGAATGAATAAAAAATACGTGCAAGAATTTAGTGCGTTTGGTAGCCTCACTAATCAAAAAACAAGACACTAAAATGCGATGTTGTGTTAGCCATGTACAAACATCGGTATTTTTTCTATTTTTTTTTATATTGTATGGGTAACTTTTCAATAATCTGTACGAATTTCACGGCTGACATATTTCACACTCAAACACAAATGAAAATTTTGCGTCCTTCTATACGCCCAGCGGCAGACATCGTTGACGACACGCTTCATGCCGAATGCATGCAGCGACGAAAACGCGACGCTGAAGCATATGTGGACACACGTCCATTGTTTTAAATTGGTCGCTCCATGGAAGCGTCCTGCAAGCGTCAAATGTCTATGAAGCGTCTGTGACGAGACGCCTTAGTGGATAGTAGGCCTTATTCGGGCCGAATGTTCAGATAAGTACAGGGTTTTTGGACTAGGCGTCACACGAGCATCACCCGAGCATATTGACCTTCGTTCGGTACTCATTGGGGGCCGCATGCTCAGATGAGTACGCGGCTTTAGACACACAGTTATCTGTATTTCGATCTACAGGAAGAGTGGAAAGAATCGGAAGAAGCCCGGGGCAATGACCCGAGGTGAAATCAGTTACGAGACGAAGAGATCTATTTGAAGTAACGTTACCTCGCTGAGTATCGATTTCTTGGTGTTCTAGGACTTTCATGGGGCGAGAGCGGCGGCAAAGGTGGCGTCACCGATGATACACTTTCAGATAACGTGGAATGCGCCATCGCAGGCACATCTCTGGGTTCTAAAATGCTTCTCAACTCTGATTCCACTATGTCCACCCATTCGGAGTCTTTTACTGTTGTAAAACAAGAGAGAGCAATATTAACAATTTTTATGTTACGATTCATTGTCGCTCAGGACTGTTAAAAAGTGGTATTATTTATGTTTTTAAATATTCTAATATATTTTAATATGGTACTGTTAAATGAATTCGAACACTTTGCAAAAGAACACTTAAGTATATTTATACTACTTATTATTTGTTAGTATAATATTAACTTATTATTTTAAGACACTGAAAGGTTATTTCACGGCCACTACATTATAATTAGACGAATTTATTTTAATGGGCTAGAAGATGTTCGTAATGAAGGCGTTGTCTGTTTAAACAAAAATTCTGGTATCCCTGAGACAAATAATGTTCTCGCCACGGTATTGCGTGAGCCTTCGGGGCTAACGAAAATAGAAAATTATGTATGTTTGATGTATATATGTGTGTATTAATGTTCTCCAGGTATTTCATTATATTTGAGCGTGAGGGTTCGTTTGTGTGAAATGTCATCGTCGATATCTACTGCGTCCCACAGATATATCTAACATACGTAAAAGCATACAAGTTTTTTCATTAATCCACAGTGAGCCAAATTTCTATTTTGTCGTGTATCTTATAGCTGTAAAAATAAATAACAAATGTTTTTATATATTCTTAAGCAATGCAAATTTTAGGAACATTTTAGATTCTAAAACTTTTGAATTCACTACTTTATTGATGAGATATGAATTCGTTTGAAAAACGGTATTTTTGTCTCACTGTATACCACGCATGGTCCACGTCGAAACATGTCACAAATTACGCAGAAACAAGTATTCTGCTGATAATATTCAAACCAACATATGTAAAAATAATATTTTAACAGTTAAATATAATAACAGTGCATAAACAGACGGCAAAATTCATTCAAAAATACCATTTTTTACTTGATAACATGTTTATTCTTCAAGAATTTTTTTTTCTTTGTGTTTGAGAACAATTATTTGTATTTGCTTATTAGATATTTACAAGTGTAATTAACGAATCTTGAGATTTCCAAAAGTAATTGGAAGTTTTATTTAAGACTCAGTAACATTTAGACAAATATTTCACTCCGTACCATGTTACACAGTCAGAAAAAGTAAAGTTATTACGTGGTTATGGCGTGGCACAAAGTGAGACTCTCGGAACTATCTCAGTGTGTGTCAATGTGGTAACCGTTCAAATTTAATAATAATAACTGCCGTTTACTGCGTGCGAATTTTCTAACCAAACTTAGGCTACTTTGTAATTCATTAAGTTACTAACTAAATAGGTACACATATCTTTCATCAATAAACTTCAAGACTTATTAAACGATATATCAGAAAATGTGACACTTGCTGTAACTTTTTTTTAAATATACAAATACACAATGTAACATAATAAATCTTACATATCTGTACATATACAGGGTGAATCTCGGAACGTGACGACTTCAAATAACTCGTAAGTTATTTATTGTACAAAAACATTGTGCGAGCAAATGTTGCATGATTTCCAGGAGGACAAATAGTGCTGTAATCTGTTTTTTGTCATTTTGCTTTTTATCGAGATATGAGGGTCACCTTCAGTCTTTTAAATAGAATGCCCAATACTTTGTCCCAAATTCGGATAAAGCACCAAATTCTGCGTAAACAAAGTATTATACCAAAGAGGGCTTAAAATTAATAATTACAGAGATATTCTCAAATTGCTAATCTTCTATTAGGAAATATTTCATAATGTTCAGTCAACGTGAAGACATGACTTCGTTTACGACGGCAAGTCATGTTTATAAACACGTTAGATGTTAGACATCATCAATATGAGATATAGCTGAATTTAGTAGCTCAGTAAACGTAAAAGTAGGATGTTCAGTAACAGAGAAAAGTGCGATTATGATAACTGTTTATTGAGCGTGTGATGAAAATACTACGAGAGCTAAGATATTATAACAAACTAAGTATCCTGATCGAAATCAGCCATCACATTTTACTTTTGTAAGGCTTACTAAAAGGCTCCAAGAATATGGCAGTTTTAACGTACAGAAATGCAACTGTCCCAAAATTGTAAATGATGAAGGATGTCGTACTTCTACTTTAGCAGCTGTTGCCCATAATCCACATATCAGTACGCGGCAGATTTCGCGTGGTTCGAGGATTAAGCAAAGTAGTGTTGTGCGTATTCTTCATTCAGATAACATTCATCCGTATCACCTGTCAGTACATTAGAAACTACATGGACGAGATTTTGAGAAACACGTACAATTCTGTGATTGATTGTTGTACTGGATGGAAGATTCGAAAATTTCGTAACTACATTCACAAATTGCGGATATATTAATACAAAAAATATGCATTATTGGGCAATACAGAATCCACATTGGATTTGTGAAATTGACCACCAACACTGGTGGAAAGTGAATGTTTGGTGCGGCATAATTGGTCACGATATCATTGGACCGTACTTTATTGAAGGATCATCAACAGGGCAAACATACTACACATTTTTATCTGAAACACTACCAAGCCTATTAGTATATGTACCGTATCTAATACGTCAAATTAATGATGTAGTAGCAACAGGACGGCTATCCAGCACATTACACTCGGCAATTGTAGCAAATATTAAATAGGATGTTTCCTAATCGTTAGATCGGACGTGGCAATAACATTGCTTGGCCAGCTCTCTAGCCAGATTTAACGCTGCTCGATTATTTTAATATTATTAAAAGATAAAGTCGAAAATGAAAAATACCTGCTCCTCGATTATTATTAAAAGATAAAGTTGAAAATGAAAATGAAAATGCCTGTTCCTTCGTCAGTAGCATGATATCTGAGTTGCATCTGACTGCGAGATTGAATATATAATTAGGTGTGTGAATTAATTATTACAGATTTTTTGTAAACTTTTGTCTTTATTAAAAAATAGCCAAACAGTTAAATCTGCGTAATATTCTTCGTTGTTTTCGACAACCTTCCGCCATCGATCTGGTAGCATACGGATACCATCACGGCAAAATCCGGGTTGGTTCGACGCAATAAAGTCATCGATGATTTCTTCACATCTTCAACATTTCGAAAGCAGCTCCTGCTAAGCTGTGCTGCATTTATTGGAACAGCTGATAGTCAAAAGAAGCCACGTCCGGAGAATACGTTCGATGAGGAAGAACTTCCCATCCCAAATTTAAAATTGTTTGTTGGGTTGCACTAGCAACATGCGGTCGAGCATTATCGTGCAAGAAAATTACTTTTCGCCTTCCGTGTCCCGTAAATAGCCTTTTTTGGTCGATTTCGTCCTTCAGACAATTTAATTGGCTTCTGTATCGATCGGCAGTAACCGTCTGATCCGGCTTTAAGAGTTCATAATGAAGCACTTTTTTGAAGTAGATTTTCGGTTGAGGCATTGATATTGATTCACCAGGATGAACCCATGATTTGTTGCGCTTGGGATTCTCATATAAGATCCACTTCTCATCTCCTGTCACGATTTTCCAGAGAAAGTTCATCTTTGTTGCCTGGAAAGCAGGGGAAGGTACGTGCTCATCCGCTGTCCAAGGTTATGTTCGCTCAGTTCATATGAGACACATCAGCCTACCTTCTCTGTTTTTCCCATTGCGTGTAATTTCTTAGCAACGGTTGATCGATCAAATCCTAGTTATGCTGCAAGTTCTGCTGCGTTTGTATCGAGTTTTGGGCGAGTAAGGTTTCCAAATCGTCATTCGACAATATTTCAGGCTGTCCAGGGCGGTCACTGAGATCGAAATCATTTTCTTTAACACCTATAAACCAATAATTACACGTTTCATAGGACACAATATGCTCTCTAAAAACAGAACAAATTGATTCACATGCTGTCGTTATTTCTCTGTTGAAATTCATACAGTATGCAGTGACGAATGTGCAGCTTATCGGTGGCCATTGTTATTATTATTATTTTTATAAGATATGTGCATGCTCGACGAATTCACGCAGTGTCTTAAAAAGGGCAATGTCAATACTTTAAAACCCCAAAAGAATGTTGAAATATTTTAATTTCAAATAGGGTTTCTAGCTTGCTTAAAAAGTATGTAAAATATTATTCACACACCTAATACAAATAAACGCAGTTTGAAAATGGATGGAATTTCAACATCATTTTTCAATAGAGCGGTTGAGTTCCGACCCATGGTGCCTTTTCAGACTTTTTATCCCCGCGACGAGTAGAATATAATGCAACGATAAAAACATTTGTCTTCAAATTCAAGGTCAAGGTCAATTTTGCATCAACGTTCTTACCTGTATCTCCACTAAATCGAAAGCGTGGAATCCGGTTGGTAGCCGCGACATGTAATTCCTTGACATCCTGTACACTTCCGTCAGTATATCAATGAACATTTATATTACTAAACGCAGAAGAAGGATGGATTAGTGTTGAAAAATTATTGGGAAAATTATCTGCATGTCATCAGTCAATTTCCATACATACTTCACAAATCACCAATCGCCGGTTGATGACAACTGACTGATTCCCGATGAAATCCTTTGTCATGAAGTATGAATGGAAATTGATCCGAGCTCTAGGGTTGGAGATCTCGCCGCAAAAGACAGAGGCCGTCTGGTTTCACAGGTTGCCTCTGTCACGGCGACCACCCCGGGCTCGAATCCGTATAGGCAACAGCCTGGTCGAAGTCGGGAACAGGTTTAAATACCTGGGCCTCAACCTCGATAGCTGCTGGCGTTTCGAAGGCCACTTCGACAAAATTGCCCCCCGCAGAGAGGGGGTGGCGACCCTTTTGGGTCGCCTACTCCCCAACATTGAGGGGCTAGAAGAGAGGGTACGCCGCCTCTATATGGGGATGATCCGATCGATGACCCTTTACGGATCACCGGTGTGGGCCGGAGGCCTGATGGCCTGCCTACGTGATCGGCACGTCCTCCGGTCGATACAGCGGAGGATGGCCATTAGTCTGAATCGGGGATATCGGACCATCTCCCATGAGGCGGCTATTGTATTGGCGGAGGTGATCCCGTCCGAGATACAGGCGGAGGCCGGCGTCGTCAAGCCCTCCGCCTTTCAGAACACCTCCCAACGCCCAAAGTGGTCAAAGAATGGATGCGTCAGTCCCGACGGATGGCCCGCGATACGTGGCAGATGCAGCTCGAGTTGAGCTGCGCCGCCCGCAAAAGGGTAGTCGGGGCGGTCCTTCCATGCCTGGATGCATGCATGGACCGCGGCCATGGTAGACTAACCTACCGCCTCACGCAAGTGCTCACCGTACACGGATGTTTCGGTGAGTACCTGTGCAAGATCGAGGCGGAGGCGACGGCTACATGCCACCAATGCGGCGCGGGGTAGGACTCCACGCAGCATGCGCTGGAGGAATGCCCGTCTTTCGCCGGTGAAAGGCGGGCCCTCCAGCGTGTCATAGGATGGGACCCAACGCCGCGGGCCGTGGTAAAAGCCATGGTCCGCGACGAGAGGTCGTGGGACGCCGTGGCCTCCTTCTGCGAGGAAATCCTCACACGGAAGGAGGCCGTCGAGCGGGATCGGGAAAGGTCCGATCCCGCTCGGAGCGAAAGAAGAGGAGTGCGGCGGGCGCGGAGGTGGCACGTTGCTGCCCCCGCAGCCATCTCCCTCCCCAGAGATAGGATCGGAACGGGGGGCCCTCGGGCACCCTGAACCGCCTCACTCCTCTTCTGCATACAGCGGTGCGGGTTGCACCGCTGTAAGACAAGGAGTTGCTCCGCGAGTGGCGCGATTAATAGGGTCACAGCCGCGATGACTCACGCGTCGCCCGCGGGGCAACTGGGCCGAGTACTGGGGGTACCACCTCCTTTCGCGGTCGGCCCACGAGAGGACAGCGCCGAGAGGTGACCCCTCGGCGCTAGAGGTAGTAGGTGGAGGGACGGCACGTGCAGCCGTCCCGGAGGGTGGGGGAAGCAACCGCAACCCTCCCCCTTCAGAGAAGAGCTCTCCCCTTAAACACCTGTAGGGGAGGGTAATGGACATAGCTGGTCGCGGTCATACCCGACCTCTGCCCGAGGGTCACCGTGGGGAAATCCCGCATTGGCCGTCTCCGCCCCCAGAGGAGGCAGTGCACCTTTTCAAGGTTTTCCTCCGTAAAAAAAAGGGTCTGGAAGGTCTCCTCATTGTTTACGTTGCCGGGTGACGTAGAGATTGTCGGCGGAAAGATCCGAACGGGCAGCAAACACGGACAGGGGTAGAGGTATACTTGTGTCAGCACGGTGAAAGTAAAGTGGGAGACGACGGTAAATAATAGTGGAGGTCCAAGTACCCCGATTCTGGCATCACTGCCTCCCACTCGGCGGTGTATCGTCACCATTAGGCGCCGGGTCGACCGGAGGGGTACGAATAAAATCTGTGGTCGCCGAAGGGATAACAAGATCGGTGATTCTGGCGCTTTTCTCCGAAGAAGATCCTAGGATGGAGCTACAAGAGGGAGGCATCCCGGAAGGTGTTCCAGTCGTCGCGTAGGATGGCGTAAATCTGGGTATCTTCGTCAATCGTTCCATAATCAATCATTTGGTAACAAAGTTATGCCGCTGGCCACGGGAGGATTCGTCGAATTAGAGTTAGAAAAAAAAAAGGGGGGCTCCACGTTCTTCTTAGATCCATCTCATGTGTAAAACGAGGTTACTCTTACGTGTGACAGAGTTTAGTTAAAATGCAAAGAGAAGAAAAATATTCCTGCCTTATACATGCAATTACTGACAAAAATTAAGTAACAAAATACTTTCTATGACCACCATATTTGTTACTCATTTTTATGCGTAATTAGTGAGTTCAATTTTACATATTTTAGTACGTTTTTACAGAGTAAACTGTATAGATTTTCCCCATTTTATTTGAACAGTTACATACCCAAGTGAGAAAATGGAACACGTTAAACAATTCCAGGTTAAACATTTTGGTTCTTAACTTTTGTCGGTCAATGCATTTTGTCCGAAATGTAAGATATGGTCACTTGCCTCGACGTAAAGAATAGTATATACACAAAAAAGCTAAGGTATTCATTTCTCGTTATCCCCGAGTTAGAATTCATTCACTTTCCCCTATAAAAGGCGAAGAAAAAAATTTCGCGGTACTTCTAAAGACGTTGAAATATTCACCACAGCATACGAACGCACATAAAATTCAAATAACAAACCTGAAGGGTGAGTTTGATCATTTGGCGGAGGACGCCGTCCACTGGAATAAACAGCTGATCCCCTCCCGGAGTCAACATTGGAGGAGCTCTGCCCAGCCTTGTCGTAATCCGATCCGGATCCTTGGTTTTGGATCTTCAATCGCCCAATTCCGTGTTCCAGCTCATTTTTCTTAGATTCTGATTTCGCCATGGAATCCTTTGCGAACTGAGTCTCGACACGTTTGGATCCTTCGCCATTTCCAATTTTCGAGCCGCATGAACTCCTAGCTGTGCCTGTCTCTGTACATTCTTTGGACAATTTCGAGCCGTAATGATTTTCTTCTGCTCGTTTCTGCAGCTCTTCAATTCTCTTCTGAACTGAAGTACCCTCGGATTCCTGATTCTCTTGTCGGGAACCTCCTACTAGCTCTGACTCTTTTTTGGAGCACCTGAATGCCTCATCTCTACGAATGCTAAAACTGGTTTCCAATCTGTACTCGTCTTTTCTTTGGATATCGCTTCTTCCAAACTCACTAGGCCCGTGGTTTTCAACCGTGATTTCGTACTTCTCCTTATCCAGCGGGCCGACGGTGAGAGTATTCATAGGTTCAACGGGATTTCTGGGCTGTTCGGCGACCCGTTCATCTTCATAACACAGCTGCGGCTGAGACACAGCTTTCTCGATGCCTTTTGCTGAGTTCCTTTGCTGGAACTCGATGTCCTGGGTGCATTCTGGTTTCAAGTAAACTTGAAGGTTCTGCCTCGAGGTGCTTGGAACGTCGATCTGAGACCTTGATATGACTTGTCTGACTTGTTGGTACTGTTGGTATGAGACATTGTTCGAGAAGTAGCTCTGCTCCGCGTTCCTGGCACCAGTTTGAGTGATGTGCTGATTAGACAATTGCTGCTGATGCATTTGCTGGATCAATTGCCGCTGATGCATGTTCTGCGCGTGTTGTTGAGAGAACCTGGGACTCTGATGATGATTCTGGTTCTGGTGTACAAGCTGTTGTGGACTTTGGAAGTTCTGATTCTCTGGTTGCATCTTGTTGCCTACTTGATGCTGCTGCATGGGTAGACCACGAGGCTTTTGGACTTGTGTGTTTTGATCCTGACAAAAAAAGTCGTACATGTATATTAACTGTTTAAACATTGTGATTGCGAATAGTATACGTGTCTATATGCGTCCCAATTATTTCGTTATAAAATTATTGCTCCTATTTTGAATCGATTCAATAAAAAGCACGTATAAGTAATGAAGAAACACAAACCTAATGTACAGCTTGTGATCCTGTAATAGCAATACTATAGATTAATAATCTTAAATCGTTGTGAGATACAAACATAACCTTTATATTTCATGATCGACACATTTATAAGTTGTAGTTGTCACTTTTATGAACTTACTTTTGTAATATAAGAATTAAAATAGATTCACAGTACGTGTATTAAAGTACTGTGGAACCGTATAATTAAAGCCTGGGAAAAACCCGCGCTTTATTGGGTTAATTTTCGCTACTTTATCACATTTATGCGTTATCGACCTTGCATAACACATTGATACCTTATGGATCAATTGTTAGTCCAGAAAAATGATTTGTTCCGAATGTATAAATCGCGATAAAAACAAATAGGTACAGATCCAATCCACGTTATATCTACAGAGTATTACTGTATCCGTAGCATAATTACGATCATTAAAGTGACGATTATTATATTTCTCTATTTACTGCGTGATTCTCTATTTACTGTGATCCCCAGAACCAACTGTTTATTTTTCTTTGATGTATAATGTCACATCAACTACGTTGTTATTATGTCCACTGAGAAACTGAGTAAGTTCCAATCATTATGGGATTTAATATTAGAACTGTAATTGATTGAATGTTTTTATGTGAAGCAATTGAATTTGGAGCACTAACGACAGCGTGGTAGGTAAAGGGGCGTCCATTCAGGTGCTTTTGCTTTTTAAAATATATTTGTAGGTTACACACAGTAGTGGGCCAGATTGTTCGAAGTAGAGGCTTTTTATCCGGGGTGAAATTTATGAGATTACGTGCAATAGTGCTTCTTTTTTTTAATTAATGAAATTACACACGAAATACTTGAAATGGTATTCTGGAGAAACAAATTGTAAAAATGACACCATATATTCAGGGTATTCCATATACAAAAAAAACAGAACACTGTACAAATCTGCTCTTTGAAATAATATTTATTTTTCATTTATAGACATAATTGATGCAAGTGTTACATGCTTACACATATATTTCATAAAAAGGACGCAAAAAGAACATTGAATAGACATATTTATTCGATGAAAATTTATTCAACGAATAAAGATACTTTTTTTTCCTCCCAGGCATCTTCTTTAAAAAAAAACAGACCATAGGTATCGCTATGTGCAATTACATGCGTAATAAAGGCGGGATCCCCCTTGAAACAGTTTACTGACAATGTAAACAACACGTACGCTTCCCGTCCTTGAGTCGACGGTGAACTGCGGCAGCCAAAAAAGTTTAAAAGGCCGTGTATCTATGTAACAATACAAATGGAAGTTTAAAACTTTTTTTATTTTTATTTCTTTAATAATGAAAAGTTTATTAACATTTCAGTGAGATTCTTCTGGGTAAAATGATATCAAACATGATGTAATTTTGATCATTTGTACAGGGTGTTTGAAAGTTCAGTGTCACGGCTATCATAGCGTTATAATACACCTCTGGATCGGTGGGGATCTGCAAAAGAAAGTGACCGCAAAATTGACCTGGACCTTTAAATTCAAGGTCAAACTTTTTTATCATTGCATAATATTTTACTCGTCATGTGGATAAAAAGTCTGAAAGCAACCATGGGTCGCAACTCAACCGTTCTCTTGCAAAATTGTGTTAAAATTGCATTAGCATTCGCACTCGTTTTATTTGCAGTTTACTTACATACTTCAGTCATATGCAAGGTAAGTAGCATCTATTGTCGCACGTAGACATTCCAGATACACCATTATAAGTCCCATATCTTCCGTTCTGTCTTTCTTCCTATAAAACTTTCACAATTCGTCGTCCCATATACGTAAAGGTCAGCGCACTCCCGACGACATCAGCTGTCTCATATAGTACAGTCGAAATAACTACGCGCTATGGTCACGTGGTTAACTGCCCGCGCGTTGTCCCTATCGCTGGGCGGATTACCCTGATCAGTAAAGAGAATGCTGCGTACGGCTGGTAAAAATGGCTGTCGCCGACAGCACAGAGGCCAGGACGAGTAAGCCAATTCAGCCAACACCGAAAATGCATGAGGCCCAACTTTGTAATTGGTCCAATGATGCTGGGTTATTTCACAGCAACCAATGAAACCCCCATACATAGTATGGGTGAAATGTACGTGAAAATAAGTTATTTACTGATAGGCATCGCTACATGGCTTCGCCATGCCGAGAGCCACCATTTCGAACTAAAATTTAATTCACAAAACTAAGCTGCCCGCGCAAGAGCGAGTACGTCTCTGGTATATACAGGGTGTAACAAAAATGTTGGAGGACCAGGAAATGGGAGACTCGTAAGGTAATTTGAAACTGTAAGAGTCACAGAAATATTTGTTTAACACGTTAAACGCGGCACCGATTTTGCTATCCTTTTCGTTCAGGTGGCAACGAGCGGGTGTTTGGGATAGAGAGTGTAAACAGAAGATAGCACGCACGACGCGGTGACGACTTCGTTTCACCTTTTCCCCTTCCATTGGAATGTTTTAATAAACTGCATTAAAGAAGTATACACATATCTTTTCATATTATATTAATTACAACATTTGGTTTTTAAACTTGACACTGTTGGTCCCAAGGTACCGGCACCACGTGAGCGAAAACTCCATTGCCAGTCCCCAGGAACCGGCGCCGCGCTCAACGTGTTAACCAAAATTGCGCGGTACGAAGAGAGCCATGCGATGACGCTAATAATATTTTTGTAGGTGGAGGTACTTTAGATATTTCACAGTCACCTTCATTTTTTAAAATGGATCGGTATGTTTTTGTTTCCGTAGAATGATAGAGGAGCTTAATACGAGTTCAACGACCTATTACATAAGACCATTGAAGGTTATAGAAAGTAGAGAAAAGCGATAATATTTATGGTTTACTTCACTGAAAATAAACACTGTTTGAAGGACACTTTAATAAGTTTGCAGAATACGATAAACATGATAAGAATAGTATCGTATCGGTCAACCGGGCACGATGTATCTGTTTGAAGAACAAGTCGATATGCTACTTTCATCAAGTCATTTCAAGGTCGTCGTTATTTTTTGGCATGTTAACACGTATGTTTTAATCGTAATAAACTACCCTGGAGTCGACATCAGGATAAGTTCAACGACCTATGACATCATGACCTTGAACTAACCTTGAATGAAAACAATAAGTTTAAATTGAAACAGTGTAAAAATAATGAAACAAAGAAATAAGTACTCTGCATGCCTGACAAGAAGTCCCATGGAAAGTATTCGGGTCTAATTGGACAGAGTGGAAGGGGTACGCCACATTTTACACACATTTTCGGCTCTTGTGAACTATTGGCCAAGGCGGTTATACACACAATCGAATCATATAGCACCGAGTAGCGAAGACAGCGAATAAACACATCGAAACCGATTAAGATAAAGCGATCGCGCGAGCGATCAGTGAAACTTCGAAGTATACGTCGCATTCTCTTGGAGTGTTAACCATTGGCATTGGCCGGTGAAAGTGTCACAGTCGGACTTACGCGGAGCGAGTGTAGAGTACATATAATGATTCAGCTTATTTTATTAGGTGTTCAACGTTCTGGCCGCCCGCATCAATAAATTTACACAGAGGATAAAATATATAACATTTCTTGCAACGTGTATTCTGAATTAGTTGGAATTCGTTTAAAATAAAATTCCTACAACTAAGGATAATATGAAAGAATGGACTGTATCTGAATTAATTCCAGCGAAATGAGTCGGAATTATGTGAAATGAAAATACCGTTACTGGTCGAAAAGTAGTTCACACGGAATATAAAAGACAATCGAAGATTACCTGGTTCTGAGAATTCTGAGGGAGTCCCTGATGCAAATGCTGGGTTGGCAATCCACATGCTCCATGAACAACGTAATCCCTCGCAACATTTTGCACCTGTTGGCCACCTGTTGCTGATTGACTGAAAGTGGGAATTTGAGTTTGATGGACCGTTTGAACTCCTCCAGGTGGAGTGTGATGCGTCACGTGAAGCTGAGCACTTTGACCTGGCAAGTTAGGTTGAATTTGTGATGTCGGTTGAAGTTGTCCGGGAAGTGGTACATTCTGCTGATTGCTCAGGTACCTATACGAATCACCATACTGACCTAAACCATCAACACCTTGTGTAAATATTGTCATCGTTAATAGTGATTGTTCGCGCCTTTAATAACATCGATCGCAGAAGATTCTTTATATTTCTGATATTTTGTACTTTCACTTGACTTTAATACAATAAATATTAAATATTTTATAGTCAAATTAATATTAGTCAGGTACTGCAAAATACAAAATGAGAAAACACAATTTCGTCTTATAACGTAAAAGAGTCTAGTACAACTCACTTAATACATGTTACATGTTTCGTTGAAATTACGGAGGGGAACTTAAATGATATAAACGAGCGTTTACCGATTCGGACGAGATTCACTTTACTAAAGAATGTCCCAAATTTTCTTAAAGAACTAGTTTGCTTTATAATGCAAGCTATAAAGCAAGTAAAATTTATGATCATTTATTGACAATTCACAAAGTCTCAAACAAAAACGAGCAAACCTTTTTTAAATGCACGGGCAATTATAGCCTGGGGCAAAGAGATAGCACATGTTAAGAATCACTTAATTCCTACTTATTAAACAATGCAAAACTAAATACCTTATACATATAGTGTTCCAGATTCCTATGGTCAGCATAAAAATAAAATGAACTTAAATTCCAACAAACAATACATGTAGTTTTGTTTAAAGATTTATGCAAATTAAAGAAATTCAAAGGGACAAAATCATAGAAAATTTGTTGAAAAATTGACAAAATATACAAATCAATTAATGGTATTCAGTATTTAAACCTTCTAGAATTCTTTATATGTAATGACTCTAATCAATCTTTTTGTAAAATATTTGTAAGGTTTTCTTAATATTCTTTTGTTTTTATTGTTCCAACTAGTGCTGAATACATTGTTTTAATTCATTAACATGGTCAAAGTATTCAAACGGTTTGCAAGTTTAATATACTGCACTGGCAACAATTCCATCAGCTTTCTCAATATGCATGAGTCAGTTCAAACTTGAATTTTGTTAGTAGAAAAGTACTCCTTCTTACAACTGAGGGGCTCAGCAGAAAGAGACACATAACAAATCTCAGTTGATTTTCAGTTTCTTGAACATCAAGCACCGAGTCAATACTTCTAATTCTTTATTGTCCGGTGCGGATTTTTTCATATGTCCACTACAATATCCACTCAACAAATCAAATGATAAGCAATCAATAATCAAACATTTGCTTTAGAAAATGAAAAAAGGATGGTCAAAAGTGGCCAAATTTTTATGATTCTGTTTACATCTAAACTGTTGAGGAAACATTATTCTATACGTTCCAAGGAATTAGGAACGCAATTATATTATTTACCGCCAATGAATCATTATATTTCATGCAATGATTTAGAAGTTATGATTGTTTAAAATAAAAAACTCCGAATTTCTCGCTCTATATACCGTCGTCTTTATCTGCCTTTTTTACAACTTTCCCATCACATTGGCAGTAAATAATTATGCATTTTTAATTCCTTGGAATATATTGAATAATGTCTAGTAAATACTGTAGGTGTCGAAAGAATCATAAATTTGGTCACTTTTTAACATTCTTCTTTCCTGCTCCTTTCGCTCGTATTATTGTATGATTTAATTACCATCCTCCTTTCATTTTATAAAGTAAAGGAAACGTTTGATTATTGATTGCTTCATCATTAGATTTGTTGAGTGGATATTGTAGTGGACGTATGGAAAAATCTACATTGATCAGCCACGATAATGCCATATACAATGTGTCTCGGCTAACTTGATCATCTCGAATATTGACTTAACAGTACACTTTATGAAAATTTTGGAGCGTAGACTTAAATGGCATCAAGGGATACATCTCATAAGGTACGTGCTTTTTTGTGAGTGAATTCATTTCAGAGATTTCACGGTCAACCAGAATTTTTTTAACGAAATGTTCTATTTTTTGTACTATAGATCGATAGAGTATCCAATTCTGAGTACAAATGTGTTGACCGTCATACGTCTTAAACCTAATAACGAGATATTTACAAAATAATCACTGTATTGAAGTTCGAGTATTAGTTCGAGCATCTATACTGGGAACTATTACAATATTATTAAATGATCGAAACTGAAATACTTCCTTTTTTGATCCCATCCAGATAGTAAGTACGTATTAAAAATTATTTTGTAAATATCTCATTAACTATTACATTTAGGACGTATGGAAGTCAACCAGTGATGGAAAATGAATCGAACCGGCACATTCGGAACCGGTTCTTAACCGGTTTCGACATTCAAGAACCGCTTCCATAAGAGAACCGATCGGTTTTTTTGCGAGAACCGGTTCTGCCTTTAAATACCTATCTTCAAACCGGTACCAGAACTCATGTTTTTGAGTTTCCGAACCGGTTTCTGATCACCTATCTGGCGATTCTCCAAACGTGATTCATGGTATGCGTGAACTGTGCGTTGACTATTACTTTTCGAATGGCAAGAACTGAAATACTTAAAGGGATAGACCACCCTGGAGTTAGTAATGTTTCTGCAACCCGTTATTTCGTAGGTGCTGATATTTATTATACCAAAGTCTAGTAGATTTTAATAATTTGATTATAAAGGGTTAGGCCTCTTGTTGTAGTTAATCTTAATCCCCAATGTAAGTGTTTTGCGTTATAGTCTCCCGCTATCAGGTATTTCACGGTTTGCACGGTACGTTCAAATAGTTACCAGACTGATTTTTTTACAGATATACTTTTAGCCCCATCTCTGAATTCGAGATGATACTAAATAATTTAGACCTTTCTTAGTGCCCTATAATTTTCGCGTTTCCTAATGTTCATTTGTTCATTAGTACTACACTGTTAAAAGTTACTTGATTTTATACGTTGTCACGATTACAACAATGGAGCAACGGGCCGCAATTAAATTTTGCTTTAAAAGTGGAATAACTGCGATTCAAACTTACAGAATGATGTAAAAAGCATACGGACATGATTGTCTGAGTCGTGCTCTAGTTTTTCAGTGGTTCAAACGATTTAAAGAAGGTCGTCGGTCACTTGAAGATGACAAAAGAGAAAGACTACCTTCGACAAGTTTCACCGAGGCGAATGTTGAATGTATTCGTCTGCTTTCGTCGAGAGACCGTTGTTTAACGATAAAAATAATAGCTGACGAATTAATTAGAATTCGACGTGTGAGGTCCGAGTTTTACCGATCGGGTGAATGGTTTCTGCTCCACGACAACGCGCCCGCACATTCGTCAATCATCGTCACAGAATTTCTGGCAAAAAAAAAGCGTAACTGTTATTAACCATCCACCGTATTCGCCAGATTTGTCACCTGCCGACTTTTTCTTATTCCCGAAAATCAAATTGCCAATGAAAGGGACCTATTATGAAGAGGTGAATGCAAAAAAACAGACAGTAACCGAACAATTAAACAGGGTAACACAAGAGGAATTCTCCAAAGCTTTCAAAGCACTTTATAAACGTTGTACTGAGTATTTAGGTAGAGGAGGGATGTATCTAGAAAACTGAACAATAAAAATTCCTTAATCAACAGAATTCAATTTTTTATTACACCAGTCTTGGAACTTTTTGAACATACCGTGTATATATCAAAAAAATTATCCCATTTCAAGATGTTTATAGGGTGATTAGGCGGACAATACAGGGTGGGGCAATAACTATTTCCACTTTGAATATTGCCTGTATTTGTCATAATATGAAAAAATGTTATATACAAAATTTATACGGTATAGCGGGGGGCATATTGTGACACAAACATTTTCTGCGTGGGTGAAGGCATAGAGGAGATTTCAAGGTCATCTCTATTTTTTTTAATGGAATGCTATGTTTTTTTTATCGCAATGTGATAGCCGGTGTTGAGACGACTTCAGTGAGCTATTATTGAAGGTCATGCAAGGTCAAATGTGGTAGTAGAATAAACTTTCTTACATTACAGGAGATGCTCGAAGTGGTGACCGTTTGCGTCGATGCAAAGTTGCAATCTTCGTATCGCTGCATCACGTGCATGTCTTATCGTTTCTAAACTTATTCTAGATTTTGAGACACCCTGTATAATGAGTATGCATACACAGTAGAGACACTTAGTAATCACATAAACACGTCTATCTGCTTCGACAGCTAGAACGAGACTGATGCAAAAATTGAAAATATTTAAACAGTAAAATTTCTTTTTATTCTTCAAGTATGTAGTAATATGGATCGAAACGGTTTTTTACCGTATGTTATTCCTTTTTATTTGTAAACTGATGAAAATCACGTACTTTTCGATCGTTTTGATCGGACGGTACCTTTAACTGTTCGATTGTGACCATCGTTTAATTGAACAACATCAAAATTACTGCATAATGAAAAAATCGGTCTGTTTACGAATACAAATATTACAAAAAATTTTCATTTGATTTAATTGGAAATTTATACATTTCTGGAGAACATGCTTTATCTCCGAATGACATTAAAATTAACTAATGAATGTATAAGAATGTAGAACAATTTTAGTTTTAGTAAAGGAAGCTCCTCTGCGATCAAACCGTTAATATCAGTAGGTGACAATGTTTGTGGAAAACTTTTAATGCAAGTGAAACATACCGTAAATGATTGAAAGAAGTTACAAAAAAATCGAGTATAGTATTTTAAAATAAATTTACCGGAAGCATTTTTTGGATACTGCATGTTAACTGAAAGTTCCTGTGCCCGTGGATTGACGTAAATCGCATCTTTTTTGTTGGCCTCTTCATCGTCGATACTTCTACTGGATTTCCTTAACTCTTCCGTAACATTATTTAAGCTGGCCTCCAGTTCCGCCTCGACGTCTTTACGGCTCTGCCTGAAGCGGTTGGATATCATGTCCTTAATTGTGTGATAAGTTCTCGAGAGAGACTTGCTCTTTTCCTCATCGATCTTCGTAGTTCTCGTTGCCGCCGCAGCTGAAGCCGACCTTTGGAAAAATTGCAATCTTATCAGAGAAAATCGAACTTCGCCGTCCAGTAAAATAAGGGGGGGATATTTACGCATATGATTCCGGCGGGTGATAACTCCTCGCTTGATTCTCTTGTCTCACTTCTTGCATTTGGGTTCCCTGGAAAATGTTTAAAATGTTTGCTTGAAATGCTTAAACGGGTTTTTAATGCTTGAAATATTCAAAAACCTTAAAATGCTTAAAATATTTAACATGTTCGAAATTGTCCAAATATTCGAAATAACGATAAAATGTATGACTATTTCATATTTAATAAATTTCGCCCTTTTCTTACAATATTATTCAGTAGTCATATGATGATGTTTTGTAAAATAATATATTCCAATGGCGATTCTTCAACAGACAATTCACATTTAAATTGTACAACTGGCTAAGTTTGAATAGGTATATATATTATTACGATTTTTATACTAATTCTAACAATAAGATGAAAGTTGTCGCACCTGCATTACGATGCATGAGGAAACTACATAAAATAAAATAAATAAAATAGGTAAACATATGCATTCTCTGTAACATGAACTGTTTCTAGCATAGAGTTAGCATACGACGTTAAAGGTTCTTTTTACAAGTTAATTTTAAGAGGGACAGCTAGAAAAATAATAGACAATATCTTCGTTGATGGCAGCAACACGTACAGGCAATCCGTTGGTAGTCGCACTGCAGAAGACAAGAGAGAGTTTCATAATATTCAGACTCGCACACCCACGGCATCGTGGCCAAATGGCCCCAAGTGGTGTAGAAAAAAAACACAGATGTTGCTTTAAGAATAATGCGAAGAGAAACGCGACCTCCAAAACTCTTTC